CCTCTAGGCCTGAGACCCAGAGACTCCAAAACCCCTTGGCTAAGGAATATACCCTAAATGTTTGTTTGTGGTTCCTATTATAATTTAAGGTATATTCCTTAATTAAGGAATATACCTTAAATTATGGGGGGGCCTTAACATTGTGAGTTAAGGTGTATTCCTTGGTTTTGGAGTCTCTGGGTCTCTGGGGACCCGGGCTTGTAGTGATCGCCATGCTCCGAGAAAGCGCCCGGCTGCACGGCGACCTCCGGTGCGGCTGGGTGGTTTTCCGGCTTGGGGCTTGGGGTTTAGGGTTTAGGGTTTAGGGTTTAGGGGTTTAGGGCTTAAAGGGGTTTAGGGGTTAAGGGTTTAGGGCTTAAAGGGGTTTAGGGTTTGGGGGTTTAGGGGTTTAGGGGTTTAGGGGTTTAGGGCTTAAAGGGGTTTAGGGCTTAAAGGGGTTTAGGGGTTAAGGGTTTAGGGCTTAAAGGGGTTTAGGGCTTAAAGGGGTTTAGGGGTTTAGGGCTTTAGGGGTGTAGGGGTTTAGGGTTTAAGGGTTTAAGGGTTTAGGGCTCAAAGGGGTTTAGGGGTTTAGGGTTTAATTAGGGTTTAGGGCCTCTGGGAGCTTGAACCATCTTTGCCGGGTTGCTTAGGGAGTGAATCTACCGGTCTGGGCTTGCGGGGTAAAGAAAGCTTTCTTTCAAAGGCTCTTTCCACAAAAGTTAGTATGCAATCCGATGCTTCGGGGTCTAGGGTGCAGGGTTGCTTGGGTTATGGCTGAGGGAGTTGAGGGCTTAGGGTTTAGGGTTCAAGGGTGTGGGGTTTATGGCAGCTTTGGCCCAAAAGGCCTTGTGGCCTCGTGTCGGTTGGCGCTTGGCGCCCTCCCACCAGAGTCCCGTGCTCATTCCGGGCTCCTTCCTGCGGTGTCGACATCCTTTAGGGTTTAGGGTTCGGCTTAACTGGATGTTTCCACAAGGTTGAGTGGTTTTTGTAGGTGCGACCTGTGTTTCCGCTTCCGGAAACCGTCTTCCAGCCAGAGTCCAGAACACTTTGGGGGTGGTGAACTCATACGGTTGATGATCAAAATCCTGCATTACCCATAATAAGGAATATACCGTAATTCCGATAGTTTAGGCTCCCTAAGGTGATGCAGGATATATATATATGTGTGTATATATATATATATATCATCAACAGTAGTCCCAGCATGTTGATTGTGTGTGTTCCGGGGCTTTCATGGTAGCCCTGCTTCCCTTAACCCCTAAAGCCCTAAACGGGTTTAGGGTTTAGGGTTTAGGGTGAAACCCAAAACCATAAAACAAACCCCGTCAACCCCAAAACATCCGCGCCTCAACCACAAGGCGAAATCGCTCATTGCCAACCTGCAACCGACCATCGGCATGATGCTTGAGCTTAGGGTGGTAGGGTTCCTTCTTCAAGGGATGCCCAAAACGCTATCTATACCCAGACACGCAAAAGGACCTCGGAGGTAGAAACCCGACTTTGGGAACCCATACTACTACAAGGTAGTTTATGCCCTAAACCCTGAACCCCAAAGCCTAAACCCCAAACCCTGAACCCTGAACCCTAAACCCGGAACCCTGAACCCCAAACCCTGAACTCCAAACCCCAAACCCTCAAGGCATCTACCTTTTGGATCCTCCTGGGGCAAGGCTTCCAAAACACGCAACAGGGGCTAGAGGGTTTCCATGATGTTTCGCATGGGAGGGTTTGTGAAACCCAAAAGCCGCCCTTACATGTAGCCGAAAAGACCTACCCTTTTTAGGGCTCCTTATTGTGGCTTCTATATGCACTTCCTTAAAAAAAAGGGTAGGTCTTTCCAGCTTTAGGGGTACACCTCTTGAACTTTAGGAATTCAAGCTTGGGGGTTTAGGGGTTCAGGGTTTAGGGTTGGTTTTAGGGTTCCCCCTTTGTTGTGGGCTCTTCAGAAAAAAACAAGGGGGGGCTAGAAGGGTTCCTGTAGGGGGTACTGTAAGGGTGGTGGGGGTGGTACAGGGGCCGTCATCATTTCAATAGGGTTTTTGTAGTGTATGATACTAAAAACCCTAAACCCTGAACTCTAAACCCTATACCCTAAACCCCAAACCTTGAACCCTGAACCCTAAACCCTAAAAACCTACTTTGCTGATGTTGCAGGCCTCAATCGTACGCACCGACCTCGCACCCGACATCCTAAGCCCAGACCTGTGAAAAAGTTGTTATAAGTATACTTTTACCGTTAACCCAAGTAGAAACCGAAACCCTAAACCCTAAACCTACACTTGAACCGTTAACCCAAGTACAAACCTTAACATCCTGAACCCTAAACCCGAAACCCTAAACCTACACTTCGAAGCCTAAACCCTAAACCCTAAACCTACACTTTAAACCCTAAACCCTAAACCCTAAACCTACACTTTAAACCCTAAACCCTAAACCCTAAACATCCTGAACCTCTTAAACCCTAAACCCGACACCCCAGGACAGCCCCAAACATCAACGACTGAGCGCCCTCGCCCGCAAGTCCGGCCTGAGAGGAGCTGGGTTTAGGGCTTAGGGATTTAAGGGTTTAGGGGTTTAGGGCTCAGGGGTTGAGCGGTCAGGGTTTAGGGGTTTAGGGGTTCAGGGGTTTAGGGGTTTGGGGTTGAGGGTGGCACGGAAGGCTTGGGGGTGTTGATTTGAGGTTTGGTGTTGATGTGGGCAGTTCTCTAAAGTAGGGTCCCTTTGTAGGTCCCCGCTGTAGTACGGCACCCTGGTTAAAAGGACCCTGAAAAGAACCTTAATTTAGAGAACTACCCATGTGTTGTGGCCTTTTGCAGAGTTTGGGACTTTCTTGAGGGATTCTGGGACTTGCTAACTACGGTTATAAACAAGACAACTAGAGTTATAAGATACCCAAAAACCCCAACTACCCCAAGTAATGTACTTACAACCTTGCTTACAACCCTAAACCCTGAACCCTAAACCTAAACCCTGAACCCTAAACCCTGAACCAGTCCCAAGTAGAGCCCTTGTGCAAGTAGCAAGATGCAGGCCGAAGCAAGAGATTCAGCCGGAGACCTTCTTAGGTCGGCTTCCAGTCTAGGGTTGAGGGTGTAGGGTTTAGGGTTTAGGGTGTAGGGTTTAGAGTAAAGGGTAAACACATGATCCGGCAATCCAGCGATGCGCAAGGCTCCGACAGGGAGTATAGGCAGAAGGTGTACTGGAAGGACGGAGACAGATAGATCCTTGCGTGTGCGAACCCAGGGAGGCCGAATACCCTTTTGTTCTGAAGGAAGATACCCTCAAAGCGTGATTAGCAAGGCCAGTATAGGGGTTTAGGTTTAGGGTTTCCTTGGTAAGGTGTATTCGGCTCCCTGGGGAAGATTCAGTTTAGCCTTGGGCGTTTCGAAGCTTACTTTAGCGGCACGTTGGGTTGGGCTTTAGGTTTTTGGTTTCGAGAACCCTAGCCACACCGAATATCAAGAAAAATTTCGTAGTAATACAGATAGTAATTCCAAAAGTGGTGGTTAATTGCTAGCAATAGTAAGCAATGTTAATCGAAATGGCAAGAATTACAGTGACGACAATAGTAACAGTAACAGCAACAGTGTCTGCAATAGTACCAGCAACGGCAGAGTAAACCCTAAACCCTAAACGTTAATAACAACTCGGTCTTCTGCCAAGTCCGGTCTCTCTGTCTTCTCCTCATCTGGGATGATGCCTCCTGCACGGACAACGCCGCTGCCTCCGATGATGTTGCCCTTCTCTTTCTTGTTGACCAACCAAAGCTGGTCATACAGAGGCACGCCGATTCCCTGAATCACGTTCGTGGCGAGAGTTGTGCTGGTGAAGTGCATGCGCTCAACTCGCTCCGGGACCACCATGGTCAATTCTGGAGGGGCACACACGACAGCACTCTGAACCAGAGAGGGCATTCCCTGCTTCTTGTCTCGGCACTGTTGCAGCGACTCTTCGTCAAACTGCAAGAAGAGAGTTTCTCTCTTCTTTGGCACCGCCTTGCCCTCCGAGTTGGTCATCGCCTTCAAGAAGTTCTCGTTATGCCCGAAGTGGCCACCATTGAAGGTGAAGAAGATCATGTTCTTTGGCAGGCTCTCCTCCACACCCTCTCCATCACGTGCGAGCAGGGCAGAGTAGTACTTGCGGAGATGCTCATAACGAAACCTGGGTGTGCGGCAGTGGGGCATCGAGTCGGACTCGCCAGCGTGCTGACAGGCGTACATGACGCCTACCCTGCTCATCTTCCAGACGGACTTCTCTTTCAGAGTATCCACGAATGCTGCACCGGACTCTGGCTCTGTGACCGTTGTGACGTACCTACGCACGAGGCCATCCGCTTTCTCCATGAAGCCTTCGAGGATGCTGTTCTCGTCCTTCTTGATCTCCTCCTCAGTGCAGACGTTGCACAACATCTCCGCAAAGGTCTCAGGCTCCTCCACCGAAGTTGCTGCAACAGCACGTGCTGTTGCAGCTGCACCCGCGGCCTGCACAAGGAGGCTTAGAGCAAAGTATGGACATGAGCCGCAATGAAATGTCAGTCGCCATCCACTGGTGCTCTTGACCTGCCTACAGCATACCTGCAACATGCCAGCACTGTGCCTCTGGAGCATGCTGTTGCACATCCTCTTCAATCCGGGCGATCTCCGACTGGAACGGCTCTGTGGCGAAGAGATCGGCTGGACTCTTTCCACTCTTGAGGAGATGCCTCAACTGTCCGTCAAACCGCGGCCCAAAAATCGTGCCTCGTATGAAGTCCAGGATCTTCTGCGAGCCTGGCTGGACGCTGCTCTTCCAGGCGGACGCCTTGTCGAAAAACTTCGAGGCTTGGCTGGGTGTGCTCAGTCCACGGATCAGAGCCTCTCACATTATGCAACCCTCGCCCCTGCACCTCAGGCCTCAACTTCTGAAACCGGAGGCTTTTTGGCCAACCCGTGCAGACTGCAAAATGAGTTGCCGAAGCCCTGAGTCTGTGTCCTAACCTAGAAGAGGATGGAAGGCTCCCAATACAACATCCAGCACTGTCCTTATCCCACCTTGGACTCCGCGTCCAGGGGCTGCGTCTCCAGCCACTGGTGCACCAGGTGATGTAGCAACTTCTGCTTCTCGAGGAACACATCCAGAAGTCCACGATTGTTCGTGGTCTTGCCGGTGAGGTTGCGGGAGCTCATCTCTCCCGTGCTCGCAAACTTCTTCTCCACGTAATACCGCATGCAGTCGACGCCGAAGGTGATCTGGGCCGGATCCTTGCACTTGGCCATGACTGCCTCCAGCTGCGACATCGTGTAGAACGGACTCTGCTTGCCCCAGAGCCGTTCGCATTCGAGAACGATCTTCTTGGCTTCCTCCACAGCCAAGATATTCTCCCAGACTTTGAAGGCATTTCGTATCTCGGCACACAATGCACTCTGACCAACAGCTTTGCAATTCGGGCTCAGGCATCTCGGGGATTCTATTTACTGTTCCGTTTCCTCCCTTTCAGACGGCCCATGCTCAGCTAGATAGACTCTTGCCAATCAAAGAAGAGGGACATATGCCTCGGAGGTCACGTCTTCTTCCCCGGCTGTCTCTGGCAACTCTTGCATGAATTGTTGTGCCAGCACCGCTGGTTCACTTCCACCCGCCCCGTGGCTTTTCAGCTTGCGCAACCTGAAGCCTTCAAGCTCGAATATCCGCTGGATGGCGGACCTGCCCACGAGCTTGAACACCTTCACCGCCTTTGCTGGACAACTTTCCAAAGGAGCAAGCCCTAACACGCACACATTCATACCCGTGCATTGCTGGAAGAATTCAGTTCTGTTGCATCCTCACGAAGGTTGGCCATGTGAAAGAACCTCGCGTCTTCGCTGGCAAGGACATGGAAGCGGAAGGGCACGCAGGTCAGAAGACCTTGGCCCCAAGAACACATGCCTGGGGAAGATGGCACTCAGAAGCCTGCGGAGCAAGGCTTGCCAACCCTGGAGACAAGGCACGCTTCATTTCTGCCTTGTCCTGCTCGTCTGCGCCGCTGTCCAATTTCTCGGCCATCCACAATAAAAAAGCTTGCGCGTATTCTTCTGGGCCTAGGAGCCACGACAAGCATAGCTCGCACGCAGCAGGGGGAGATCAGAGATTCTTCGCTGCAACATGGCCGTGTTGTCCATCACTGCAATGGAAATCTCAAACGGATAGTTCCGCAGGGTTCCTTTCTGCCAACGGAAGTTGAAGATCTTGTCTTTGCACTCCATGAGTGCTGTTTCAGCCACTGGCACGTTCCTGCCACAGAGAGACGAGACACATTCATGCCTAGAAGCTTCGGCAAACTACCCGTGTGAAACAGGAAACCGACATGAAGCAGTCCGGCTGGGGCTGTAGGCAAAATTGATCCAGAAGAGATTCCCGATGCAGCGATAGCTTGCACCCGGGCCGGACATGGCCCGAAGGTAATCCTCCGCATTGAATGATGCCTCCGTTGCCCCGTTGCTGTAGTCCAGTGGCGCCTCGTTCTGGATGCCTGAGACTTCTTACTGATGTCAGTCCTACTTCTTACGGTCTGAGACGCAGTCCGCAGGTTGTTTCAACAACATTCTGCACGTTTCCCTGTGCACCGGCTGTCCTGGGAAGGTGTCGATAATGGTGGCGATGGCTTCGTTCACCTTCACGATCAGGCCCTCATTCACGCCCTCGGAAACATAGCGGTCCCCGGCAGCTCCTGCTGGAAGAACGGCCTCCTCGGCTGCTGCAGCCACTGCCGGGGCAGCTGCTGCATTCTTCGCCTTCGCCTTCGCTTTACCCTTGACTTTGGGAGCAGCCTTGCTCGTTGCTTTACCTGAGTCTCAGTCTCAGACACGGTTCGGCAAGCTACGTCGCTTCCCCTTCAACCTTCATGCCTTCATTTGCTTTCCTGCTGTTCCAAGTGGCCCTTCGGGGCCATCTTTGCAGGGCCGCAGCCGAGGACGCCCTCGGACTTCTCACTCGACCCTGCTGGCAAAAGGCTGCGAAGTGAATCCGGACGGTGGCAGCATGCTGCAAGGGCTCTGCATCCTACACTTTCCACTCGCTCTGGCAAATCTCAACTCCAGGCGCTCTAGCAGCCACGTGCCCTGAGCTCAACCGAACACGATTTCCCAAGTACCAGGTGAGTAAATGACTCCAGACGAGGGGGGACCAAGGACATCTCTGAGCTTTCTACACACAAAAACATAGGATAACCAGGCTGTGAAACAAGACAGAAAAAGACGTGCTATAGAAACCGGCTGACTGTTTATTCGGGACCTGCGGGGTGCGGGTGGCGTTTAAACAGTCGGGGACGCCCTCGACTGTTTATTCTGGACTGCAAAGACATCCCTGACTCCTCCTGTTGCCTGACTGGGCAGTATGCAGACACGGCCTGGGAGCTGGCCGAGACAGCCTAAGAGCCGGGCGGCCCAGAATAAACAGTCGGGGGCGTCCCTGGGTGTAGAGTCAGCGGGTCAGAATAAACAGTCGGGGACGCCCTCTACTGTTTATTCTAGACCTGCGCGGTGCGGGTGGCAAATAAACAGGGGCCCCCTCTCTATAAGGAATCTTTTTTTTGTAGTCATAGGATTCTATGATCATGCATGAACCGGAACCTGTTACAAGTTCGATGCCTCTCCCTGCATTGACGGACCACAAAGGAATCAACATTCACAGAACGGCAGCATGCCACCGAATCTCCAAAGCCGCCTTGCCGACTTTTCCTTCTCGGCTCTTGCATGTCGCATCCCCCTGTGACACTTTGCAAAGCTGTACATGGAAGCATTCCTGAGCCATAACAGTGTGTCACTGTGTCAGCAAAGCCGGCTGGCAACTTTGTCCACCACGGAAATCATTTTCAGAAACTCTTTGGCGGTCAGAGCTTTCTTCTGCCCTTTGTACAGCCGCTTTCTGGCTGTATCAGCCGCCTCAATGAGCACGATGACGCTCCCCTGCATCGTGGTAACTTGAGACTCCCTTTGCAAAAGCGTCCAGCGGCTTCCGGGCTTGCGGCACGCAGCAGTGACAAGATCAGTGATGCCAGGGATGCTTGCCTGGAAGGAATCACTCACCCAAAGAGCCCTCTTCTTCAAGATGGCTGCCTCGTACCTCAAGAAAGGCCCCCGCTGGCCATCGGACAATGCGAACTTTTTCGACAGACACAGTCCCCCGAAAAGCGCCAGCACCCATCGCACGCGAGACGACGGGGTTGCCACGTTCTCCACGATGCAGACCTGTGCTTCCTCGCACCGCCGTGCCACCTCATGGCAGCTTTCCAGCACCTTCGCTGGCAGTGACAAGTCCTTCTCCACCGCAACAACCTGTCCGTGGCAATCACAAGTCATGGCATCTAAAGCATTCAGGAAAGACTGCCAACAACAACACATGAGCGTGACTGTGTGATGAAAGGGCCTTTCCGCGAAGAGCGGCTCCAAGAGTGAGTTTCCGCGGCCTGCGCAGATCCAAGTCCTCCCGCTTCCGGGCCTCTTTTTCCTGCTCCCGCCGCTTGCCGTCGCGTGCTTTGGCATGTGCCTGCAGGGCTGCTGCAGCCACTTTAGAACGCTCAGGCGGAAGGAGCTTCTCATCCAGTGCGGCATCCAGCAATTTCTTCTCCATTTTGCGCTCCTGGAATGCGGCTTCGGTTTCATGATCCTTGGTCCATGCCGAACTGCCTCTGGCAAATCGAATCTGCCCATGAAGCTGCCTCACGCTCTTCAAAGGCCCCTTCTTGTGCACTTCCTTCAAAATCTTGTTCTGGGAACGGTCGCGCCATGCCTTGATGGACAAATCCTTCTTGGTCTTCTTCCGATGCATGCCCTTCGTGATCCGCGACTCCGATTTCTTTTGTCGCGGTCGGCCATACCGCAATCGACTCCAAATCACCTCAGAAGCCACGGCTATTCATGGCTGATACAACAACCAGGGCACTACTAAGGTCTGTTATTCGAGTCACACGGGCACGATGGCACAGCTTCTCATCAGCCACGAAGGATGTATCCAAATACAAGGCATTCTCATCATTGGTCGTGGATTCAAGCATTCCCAGTCGTTGCTTTCCAAACAACTGTGTCTGCTTCCCAAACGACTGCTCGACGCCAGAAGAAGTGCATCCGTTGTAAGAGCCAAACCTTTGCAGTGCTTCCCCCAGCACGTCTCCTGGGTGTCTCTTCCGCCCACCACTTGCCTTCTGGTACGCCAACCAGGCCCGTTTCCAAGCGTCAAAGGTCTCGACGTCTGTCGAGTTGTAGACTGCCTGGGCGGCCGGACGATGGTCCTCCAGCTGTTCCAGCAACGTGTCTTTGGGCAATTTGCACAGCAAAGCAAGCCTCTCCACACACTCCTCACGACTCTGGGCCCCGGGACCTGTTGGATTCTTGCGCTTGCGGCTGTTGCAGCCACCGACACCCAGCTGGAAGGCTCGAAAAGCCATCAGGCAGCTGAAAGAAGGGAACTCGGCCATCAGGGTTTGCAAAGCCAACTTCGTGTACGCGAGAAATCTCGGACGGCACCGGGCCAGTGCATTTCTCGTCTTGGCCGGATTGCCTCCCACACTACCTGGTGTGCCGTCCTTAAAAAGCCAAACAAGAGGACGCTCGAGACGGGCCAGCATGTGACGAGTCAACCCGTTATCATCACAAGCCCGATCCGCGAACAAATGGTGCAATGAATTTGCACACTCCAGGCACTGGTCAGCGACGCCGCTGATGTCATGCTCTTCACTATCTAGATAGCGCGTGAGTCTGAGAATGCAGGCCGAGGCATCACCAAGCATCGCCAGAGTCAGCAGCCTCTCCTCAGATAGCAGCTCGAGGAAGCTGTTGCAGACGGCGACGTCGTCTGAAGTCTTGTTCCTGATGATCTGCTGCGCCGCCATGACGAAGGCTTCCAGGAAGAGTGTCAAACGAAGCATTGGCTCGTAGGAGGACTCGAACCGTTGCTTTGCCAGGCTGAAGTTCTTCACGGCATTCGTGCATCTCTCCTGCACACGCACAAGTGGCTGCTACAAGACCTCTTTCAGTATGTATCCCTGACTAGTTGTCCTGCTGTGCTCAAGAACCGAAGCTTCAATTCATTACTTATGTACTCTGGGAAAGACACGCCGAGCACCTCCATGGTCTTGATGAAGCCCTCCAGCAGATTCTTGAAGGGAAGGCTGTAGGCAGCCACTTTCACCACGGCAGTTTTTCCCAAGACCAGCTTCTCCAAGGTGTCGTCGAGGAACGTGTCCGCCTTCAGCGGCCGCGCATAGATCCTCGCAGCCAGTCGGTTCAGGTTCCGGGCTTTGTGGCAAAGGGGTCTGAGTGGACATGAGGCACTAGGTTTCCGGCTCCGAGCTAGGAAGGTCTAAAGCGTTCAGTTTTGCTTGTTGCAAGTGCACGACTTGTAAGTAGAGCCTGCAAACGCGAACCTGGGTGTTCGGACTTACTGCTTGGGCTTGCTGCAGTCTCCAGGGCCTTTCTAGGGATGTATGAGGGTTTTGTCAGGAGTTCATGTGGTCCAACAACGGCTAGGAAAGGGACAAGCATAGTTCTTCTCACCAACATAGATTTCTACTGGATGCTACAGGGCTCCTGAAGCTTCAGAGTTCAATACGTGCTGTTCTTGTGGACTGTAACAGCCGCCTTTTTCCAGCACGGCCCGATCACGCCGCGAGGGTTTCTGAGAGAGCTCGGCGGTCACAAGAACAGGCCAGCAAAGAAGCTGTTAAAGTAGTCGTAGTAGTAGTAGTAGT